AACAAAGTGAATCAGCTATACGTAAACCTATATCCCCATATCTCCTTCCTCTCGTGTCTCCCTCCCACCCTCCCTGTCCCACCCCTCTAGGTGGACACAAAGCACCGAGCTGATCTCCCTGTGCTATGTGGCTGCTTCCCACTAGCTATCGATTTTACATTTGGTAGTGTACATATGTCCATGCCACTCTCTCGCTTTGTCCCAGCTTACCCTTCCCCCTCCCTGTGTCCTCAAGTCCATTCTCTACGTCTGTGTCTTTACTGTTGTTCTGCCCCTAGGTTCTTCAGAACCATTTTTTTTTTTTAGATTCCATATATATGCGTTAGCATACGGTATTTGTTTCTCTCTTTCTGACTTACTTCACTCTGTATGACAGACTCTAGGTCCAACCTCCTCACTACAAATAACTCAGTTTCGTTTCTTTTTATGGCTGAGTGATATTCCATTGTATATATGTGCCACATCTTTATCCATTCATCTGTCCATGGACACTTAGGTTGCTTCCATGTCCTGGCTATTGTAAATAGAGCTGCAATGAACATTGTTGTAGATGACTCTTTTTGAATTATGGTTTTCTCAGGGTATATGCCCAGGAGTGGGATTGCTGGGTCGTATGGTAGTTCTATTTTTAGTTTTTGAAGGAATCTCCATACTGTTCTCCATAGTGGCTGTATCAATTTACATTCCCACCAACAGTGCAAGAGGGTTCCCTTTTCTCCACACCCTCTCCAGCATTTATTGTTTGTAGTGAATGAAAGACTCTTTAAATTCTATAGTGCTTTACAATTTTCAAAAGTTTCACACACATGATTTCATATAATCTCATAGTAACTCTTTTTAAAATGCTCTGCCCCTATATTGCCCCTCCTCCCTTCCCTCTCCCCATGGGTAACCACTTGTTCTCTACATCTGTGAGTCTGCTTCTTTTTAGTTTTATTCACTAGTTTGTTGTAGTTTTTAGATTCCATATATAAGTGATATCATACAGCATTTATCTTTCTCTGTCTGACTTATTTTAATGCCCTCCTAGTCCATCCATGGGGCTGTAAATGGCAAGCCTTCATTCTTTTTTATGGCTGAGTAGTATTCCATTGTGTATATACACCACATCTTCTTTATCCATTCATCTGCTGAAGGACAATTACATTGCTTCCATACCTTGGTAATTGTAAGTAATGCTGCTATGAACATTGGGGTGAATGTATCCTTTTGAATTAATGTTTTTGTTTCTCATTTGGTATGTGAGCTAGTCTAGGCACAAAACAGTTCTTGACTTCAAGTTTGAGTTTTGTCTTCTAACAAGTTCAGAACCCAAGGAGGAAGTTGGGGCGGGGATGGGAGGTGGTGGTTAGAGGTGGCTTTTGTACCCTGCCAAACTCCACACCTAGCTCCTAAATGAGGGATGGTCCTTCAGTCTCAGCCCTTAGGGCCAGTGCCCCATCCTACCCTGTTGGACATCCCTTTCTATTTAGATACTCATCTCTCCTTGGACTCTCTGTCTCCTCCGTGTTGGGTCTTCTAGCCCCTTCTGACCTCTGCTGCCTCCAGGGAAGAATGCCACTCACTTATCCATTCTGGATGAGGTGGGCTGAAAATGACCTTGGATAGTATGTGTGACATCTGCAAGACAATCAGTACATATGTCCCTAGGCTTTCTGTGTAGTTTTTATGCCCTCTCTAGAACTGTGATCCCTAATGCCCTCTTCTCATATCTTGGCTTCTGTAAGTATCAAGCCCAGAAGGGTATATGGTGGTGAGAGTCAGAGGATAGAAACCATTTTTCTTCTATAAGCTATTGCTTTTATATCTCTGTGCTCCTGAATATCAGCAATGAGTATACTTTAATATTATAAAATGTACTTTTTGGCGAATGGGAGAATAGTGACTATTGCTTGGAAGGGACCACATAATTTTATATATATATTTTTTTGCTTAAAACAACACACTCCAGAAACTGACACACCATTGTAAAGCAATTATACCCCAATAAAGATGTTAAATAAATAAATAAAACAAAAAACCCCAACACACTCATACAATCATTATTACTACCATTATACCATTTTTTTAAATATGAAAGGACTTTCATATATATCATTTTATTTAATCCTCACAACAAGTTTTAGGAAGGTAAGTTAGATATGATTATCTGCTGTGAATCTCAAGTTTGTGTGTTCTCCTTATTTCCTATCTACATTTTCTGGCCTGTGATTGTTATGTTCATGAAGATATGCTATCTTACCATGTCTGGTTAGTTTTTCTAAACTCTTTTCCGTGGATTAACCTCTGTTTTATTCTTTTTTATTTCTTGGATTGACAGGATATAAAAATATGAAATAACAGTTTTACATTTGACATTTTTTATTGGTACTGACTTTAAAGAGAATGGCTCCAATATTTCCCCACTTTTTCCTATTTTTAAATTTTATTTTCCCTTTGTATTTTTGTGAATGCTTTATTCTTTTCAGATAGCAAAAATACCATACATCATAAAAATTTTGGAAAATATTTTAAAAAGCACAGAGAAGAAAATAAAAATAAGTTAATATAAAAAACTCCACTTAGAAATAAACCTATAAACTATGTTGTGTCTATTCCTTCTAGCTTCTCATTTCTCTCAATTTTATACTATCGTAAATTATTAAAACTCCCAATTGTTATACATGTTTAATGTTTATAATTTTCCTATATTTTAAGGGATGCCATAATAAACATTTACTTACCTATATATTAGAATACTTCTGGTAAGTTCCTAGTAAAATTGCATAATCAATTTTAAAGCTTTTGATGAATTATACCAGATGGTTATTCAGAAAGTTTTACCAATATATGCTTTTAAAAACGTTGCGTGAGTCTATGTGTTTTACCACGTGCTAAATAATCTTAGGTATAATCGTTGTTTCAATCTTTGCCTCCTTGAAGAGTAAAGTAATACTTTCGTGTTGTTTCATTTTGTGTGTTAAACTCTGATGAGGCTGAGTATTTTTGTGTGTATGAATTGCCTTTTCCCATCCTTGGCTCATTTTTTTTTTTTAATCGAGGAGCTAATAAAAGAAAAAACCTTACTCTAAGAACTTTCTCTACTAAATATATTAATCCCTTGTCGATTACATATTCTAATTAGCCTGTTATTTGCCTTTTTAATGGCATTTTAACAATTTTTTTGAATTTGAAAATTATGAATGGTTATTGAGTTTTACCAAGTATCTTATTGATACTTATTAATAGTTTTTCTTATTTTTAAATCTATACATGTGATACATTGCAGGAAGAAAAATAAACCATATGTTGGACTATCCTTGTATTCCATAAACTCTTTTAGACATGCCATAATTTTGTTTGAATCTGATGATATTTTTCGGGAGAACAAATCATTTCGTGTTATTAGAGATGCCAATTATTTCCTGCCTTGGGGATTCTTCCGCAGCTGAGCTGTGACACTGCCTTCCCAACTCCAAGTATCAGGACACTGCTCTAGAATTGGACACCTGACCAGAGGGTTCCCTCAGTAGACTCACCAGAGACCAGGCTGGCATGACTTAGGAATGTGGAATTTTGAGTGATTCAACGGTGAGCACCTGAGCTGCAGGTGTGTTGGGCCACATACAAGATAAACAAGCAGCTATGCAAGAAACCCTGTGGTTCCTGAGAGGTGGGAGTTGCAGGGTGGGTTCTTGAGGGCTCTTGAGTTTCTCAAGTTTCCAATGAGTCTCAAAGGCACCGTCTGCCCCTGGATTCTGAGCCCCTCCAGGGTTCTTTCAATCATATACTTTCCTCTCTTTTAAGGTAGTTGGAGATTTCTGACTTATGCAACCAAAAAGCCTTCAGTTGACACTCAGGATGTCACTGGCCTTCTTCAAAAATAGGACAGGGGGCTTCCGTGGTGGCGCAGTGGTTGAGAATCCGCCTGCCAGTGCAGGGGACACAGGTTCGAGCCCTGGTCTGGGAAGATCCCACATGCTGCGGAGCAACTGGGCCCGTGAGCCACAACTCCTGAGCCTGCGCGTCTGGAGCCTGTGCTCCGCAACAAGAGAGGCCGCGATAGTGAGAGGCCCACGCACCGCGATGAAGAGTGGCCCCCGCTCGCTGCAACTAGAGAAAGCTCTCGCACAGAAATAAAGACCCAACGCAGCCAAAAATAAAAAAATAATAATAAAAAAATATGAAGGGGACGAACTCAGCACTATCTGATCTGGAAGTTTCCCTTAAGCCCCACAGTTCTATAAGTCTATGGAATTAATGGTCCCCTTTATTGGGACAGTTTCTAAACCCAGCTTGGTAGAACTCTGGAATAACAAAGATTCAGTGAAAACCAGGAGCCAGATGACGATGTGTTAAGACAGACCTCTTAAGACAGGAAGACATTTCCAATTTTCGAAAAATTGTGTTTCCTTAAAACCTGAAGGAGCATTTTGCTTCTCAGTCACTGAATTGAACGAGTACCTCTGCTTCCTAAACAGTGTAATTTCAGCTGTCTGTGCTTCTCTTCACGTACCTCAGACTGGGCATCTGGCAGTGACAGGTAATCAAATCATATCGAGGGACACTGAGCCATCTGCCTTGATCTCAGCCCTCAGAACTGAGCTATTGGAAAGGGTTTCAGCTTTTCATCTGCAGCTTGCAAGCCCGCATGGTCCAGTTTTCTCAATGAAAGTATTGATTTAGGCCTTTAAAAATAATTCCCGGCCTTGCTGACATCAAGGAGACGACTCATAGCATCAGGATAAAAGAGAATCAGGCTGTGAATAAAGCCATTCAATTTTCTTTTGCGCACAAAACAAAAGTCTGAAATGCCCGGCTTCAATGGCCAAAAAAGAGCAGCGAGATAATTAGGACTTTAGGATTAAGAAAGCACAGTGTTGGGAGGTAATGAGGAGGTTGAGGGTGACAACAATTCCTGGGCTGCTGTCAGACGGGATATATGAAGAGGGATGGAGCTTATGCTCGATGCAAAGAAGGATACCTTTATTTCTGTTAAAGACTTGAATGTACAACAAACATCAAAACTGATTGGCTTTTAAATTACTTTTAAGTCCCTTAGTATCTTAGTCAGTTTGCTATAGCAGATTACAATAGACTAGATGACTTAAACAATAAATGTTTATTTCTCATGTTTCTGGAGGCTAGAAGTCCAAGATCAGGGTGCCACGATGCCCTTAGTGAGGGTCCATGTGGTTATGTCCTCACATGACCTTTCCTTGGCATGTGCACAAAAAAAAAGAGGGAGAGAGATCTCATGTCTCTTCCTCTTTTTATAAGGGCACTTATAATCATGGGGACTCCACCCTTAAGGCCTAATTTCCTATTTACCACCACCAAATACCATCAAACTGGGGACAAAGTGTTTCGACAAAAGAGTTTTGAGAGGACACAAACATTCAGTCCCTAGCACTTGAGAATATGTATTCTATTCAGGGATCTTTGGATTGCATCTTAGGTTGAGTTTCCCATAAGTGGACCCTGAGATAAGGATTCATGGGAAAGTAGTTCATTAGGAAATGTCCCTAGGAGAAACTGGTAGGGGAGTGGGATTGTGCAAGAGTGTCAGATCAATATCTCACAGGGCATAACTCTTACTCAATCCTGCAGTAAGTAAAACCATCCAGAGTAAGGCAAGGGTTACAAATAGCTCCCAGGGGATGTAAATTCCTGGGTAGTTATAGCTCTTAAGACCAACAGGCTGGGCAGCCTGAGAGTAGTCCTCTAACAAAGAGCTGCAGGTACTGGTTGGTAGGAGTGAAAGCACCTTGAGGGAAGGCCCTTGTGCAGGAAAAGGATCCATAGGGTATGGATGGTGCAAAGACAGCAAGTTGCAAGAAACAAAAACCCACCCAAGGTAACGTAAGCAAAGGGGTATCTCAGTTAAGATTTCATTTGGCTGCATATAATAAAAACTGGATTCAGCACCCAACCAAAAGAATTTGTGTTTCTAATAAAATAAGAAGTGCAGAAGTTGGCAGTCTGGGATTGGTGTAGCTGCTTCCTGATGGTATCAGTGAACAGTGTTCCAGCTCAACCTTCTTGCTTTTTGCTTCATGCTTGCAAGACGGCTCTTCTACCTCCAGCCTCATGTGTGCATTCCTGTAGCAAGAAGAAGAGGAACAGAAAGAAGGCCATATGTGTATCAGGAAAACAAACACCAGAAATCTAGAACAGCCTTCTGATTATTTTTTATTGGCTCTGAGTTGCATAATTACCTTTAGATGTAAGGAATTCTGGGAAGTGGCATATGGCTCCCCTGAAAAGACTAACTTTTCTTTTAGTAAAGAAGAGAGAAAGGACAATGACTGGGCATCCAATAGGGGATTTTTTGCAAAAATACAGTGGGCCATCTTATGGGCATCCAAGGACAAGACACAAGCACAGCTTGGCTTCCTGAGGGATGGTGCCAGAACTGGCCAATGAGGAGGTTGTGTTTTGTAAGTTAAGTCTGAATAGATAATGGAACATGCCTGTGCAAAGAGGAGATATGTGAAGTGACAGCACACACGCACACACACACGCCCTCATGCACGCTGGCTTAGTCCTGTGGCACTGTGAGCAGTGGCCAATGTTCGTGCTAAGCAGTTAGCCTGGCTGCACACGCCAAGGCTGGGACCTGGGTCCGGATTGGTGGTGATGATGGCGACAGCGGCAGCAGAAGCAGCAATAGTGGCAGCAGTAGCCATAGCTCTGGAGAGAGGAGGGTCCGCGTGTGAAGACGATGCTAGGATCCATGGTGGGTGCCTGTCTGCTGATCTGGTCGTGGAGCCTATCTCTGGGGCACTGACACAAATCTCAAATCTTTGGCCAGGAACTGCTGGAGCTCAGCTGGTAAAACTTTGTCAGCAAATTATTACTAAATAGAAAAAGACACGTGGGCATTGTAATAAAGCCTATCAGTGAGTTGCTAGAATTCTTCATAATTTAATATCTCTGGTTTTGAAAACTGTTGCAACGTTGCCAAATACATATCCACAAGCCTAGAAATAGAAATTAAACTTAAAGATCATCACATCTGATGGAAAAGAACACTATTGTCATATGAAGCATCAGGTGAACCAATTATTAATGAAGGAAATCATTTTAAAATTAGTTTTCTCTTGTAATGGAAGATACAGTGATAGAATACATAAACAGATGTTTGAATTGTATATAAATCATGAAGTCAGATTTCTGTATAACCCCCACAAGTTACAGGAAATATAAGAGGAAATGCTAACATGCCATTGTTCAAATTTGCATTTAAAATTAGATCCAGACTTACATGAAAGGGATTTGTATGAAGGATCACATTTTTTAAGAAAAATTGTTCTGCAAGAATCATCAGCTCTAGATGTACTGATATTTGTATTTCAAAATAAATAATCAGAAAATTTCCCCAAAGTTTTCACAGCCTATAAAATACTCTTAACAGCTCCAGTAACTGGAGTTATCAGAAGATAGATATGGGCTTCCCTGGTGGCACAGTGGTTGGGAGTCTGCCTGCTGATGCGGGGGACGCGGGTTCGTGCCCCGGTCCGGGAAGATCTCACATGCCGCGGAGCGGCTGGGCCCATGAGCCATGGCCGCTGAGCCTGCGCGTCTGGAGCCCGTGCTCCGCAACGGGAGAGGCCGCAAGAGTGAGAGGCCCGTGTACCGCAAAAAAAAAAAAAAAAAAAAAAAAAAATCAATCTTGAATTTTCCAAGAGCACCTCACATTGCTTTCAATATCAATTGAAAATGAAGTTGCTAAAAGTATAAATTTTGATGGCCTAATAATTATGTTTTCAGTAGTGAGCCAGAAAAGTCTAATGATCAATCAAGCCATCACACTAATAAACTATTATTTATTGTGTTATATAAGATCGTGACACAAAAGAATATTATTTTGTTCATTTTGTAAGTTCAATTTGTAAATGATTCCTATGTGTCACTATTCTTCCCTTGTTATGGACTGAATTCTGTCCCCTGTCCCCAATTCATATGTTGAAATCCTAATAACCTTCTATGTGACTGTAGTTGGAGACAAGGCCATTAAAGAAGTAATTAAAGTTAAATAAGGTCATAAGGCTTGGGCTCTAATCTCATAGGACAAGTGTCCTTATAAGAAGAGGAAGAGATGCTCGACATGTCTCTCTTTCTGTGTGCACAGAGTAAGGGTTGTATGAGATACACCAAGAAGGCAGCCATCTGCAAGCCAGGAAGAGAGGTCTTACCAGAAACCCTAGCAGCACCTTGATCTTGGACTTCTAGTCTCCAGAACTGTGAGAAAGTAAATTTCTGTTCTGTAAGCCACCCAGTATGTGATACCTTGTTAAGGCAGCCTTAGCTGACTAATATACCCCTGTACATTTTATGAATAATTTTAAAGGAAAAATCTTTATATTTTAGTACCTTTAGTGGCATTTCCCCCCTTGCTTTTGAATAAGGCGGTCCACATTTCCATTATGTGCTGAACCCTGCCAATTATATAGCTGGTCATTCTCTGAATTGAGGTCACACTCTGCGTCTCTCCTAGGGTCTCTTCTCTCTGCTTCCTTTCTCTCTAATCAGCTTTTCATGGTTGCATATAACCCAACAGGCCACTTCCATCCCGACTCTACATGACCTTTTAGGTCAAGTGCTCAACATCAACCCATTAGTTTCATCTCAGAGCCCTGACTATATTTCCAAGAGAAAGAATCTAACTGGCTTGGCCACACATGTGTTCCTGGATGTCCAGGCCTCCAGTTGCAGGAGCTGAGATGGAAGGCGATTCCAAAGGCTGAGGACTGGGCTTGTGCTCTTAAGTGAGGCAATTAAAATGCATACATGGGGACTTCCTTGGTTGTCCAGTGGGTAAGACTCTGTGCTCCCAATGCAGGGGGCCCGGGTTCAATCCCTGGTCGAGGAACTAGATCCCGCATACATGCCACAACTAAGACCTGGTACAGGCAAAATAAATAAGTAAATAAATAATTAAAAAGAAACAATAAAATGCACATGGGGAGGATAACTGGCTTCAATTCCAAGCTCAACTTCTTTTCTAAGGGTGTGTGCTATCTTCACTCCTAAATGTAACCAACCTCAGTTTAAAAAGGAAAAGCAGAAACCACTGCTCTGTGCTAACAAGTATTTCAGGGCTGTGTTGCTCAGTTCTCCATCTACAAAGAACCCATTAAGAATAGGATTAGGTGGAAATTTTCAACAGAATAATGCAATGTCCGTGAATTTTTAGTTGAGGATCCTCAATTCATTCCAACATGGATTTTTGACATACTGTCTCACTTAACATTAAACTGTATTTGAAAAAGTTAAACAGCAAAGATATAAACAAAAATAGCAACATAAATATTTTCCAATGAGATAAATTTTAATAACATTTTTGGGTTAGATTCATACCTATAATTTTTAAAATGTACTAAAACCAGGAGTCTTGCTATACATTTCCAGAAGCAAACTTGGAAGAGTCCTGTTGAATTAAAAGTACAAATTAAAATCATTGATTACTGACAACTACCATATGCTATCACTTATATGTGGAATCTAAAATATGACACAAATGAACTTATTTACAAAACAGAAACAGGCTCACAGACAAAGAAAACAAAATTATGGTTACCAAAGGGGAAAGGAGATGCGGGAGGGATAGACTAGGAGTTTGGAATTAGCAGATACAAATTACTGTATATAAAATAGATAAACAACAAGGTCCTACTGTATAGCACAGGGAACTATATTCAATATCCTATAATAAACCATAATGAAAAGAATATGAAAAAGAATATATATATATATATATATATATATAACTGAATCACTTTGCTATACACCAAAAACTTAACACAGCATTATAAATCCACTCTGCTTCAATAAAATAATCACCAATTACCAAAAAGTTTAATATAGTCACACCTCAGTTACCTAGAATTCAGGCTTATTGACAACTCCTGCAATCTGGAACCCAGCAATGGAACAAAGTTCCATGAGGTACTGAGACATCTCTCACAGAATCAGTGCACTGAAGCTCATTTGCGTTAATTGTAGATGCGGGACCCAGTCAAAGCCCGCTCACCCTTACTTTATACTCTCTCTAAATAATTTTGATTTTCTGCTTTGCCAGCCTACAGCAGATTAAAACCAAAAATTTATTAGGATAGTGGAAATAAGTGAATGGAAAGCAGAAATGCTGCTAAAGCATATAAAGTGATTATTGACATTGGAGAGGAAACTGAAAGAAGGAACTGTAAAACCACAGTAGTTTGGAGACATTTAATGCACACATGCATCCAGTTTGCATTCTCACATACATTTAATGAACATAAGCCGAGCGCCTCCTATTAGCCCATCACTGTGCTTGGTGTCCAGGAAACTCAGTGCCTACCTGCAAGGGCTTATAATCCAGCATAAAGATTGACAAATAAAAATGCCATTATGATATAGTATGGCGAATGGTTAAGTGCTGGATAAGACTGAGCCCAGGGCCATGAGCCAGAATACATTTAAAGTGTTCCAGGTGAGACGTGAAGAAGCCCTAATTACGACAGTGGAAATGAAGAAATGTGTGAGCTATGAAAGATCAAGGAGGTAGAATTTCCACTTCAGGATGACTGATCAGTTGGGAGAGGTGAGGGAGAAGGAAAAGTCTAGGATGGCTCTGAGATTTCTGGCTGGCATGAAGAAACAGTGAGAGGCTCCAATCTCTCCAATAAGGGCATCACCTTATTACAGCTGACATTTTAAATGAAGACTTGGGAATCATGACATAAGGTCAGGGAAGTATGAAATCCATTTAGTAGTGATTTTCTGTATTGGGGAATAAAACACCTCATTGTAAATGAACGGTATACAGAGAAGTCCTTGTAAGTTCCTTGAGGGCAGGACATACATGATTTATCCTGCTGTCCCCAGTGCCCAAATCTGGTGGGTGCTTAATAATAATTTATTTATTTGACTTATAGAAACCAATTAGAATCACTCTGACCTTTTCTAGTCATCTCCCTTTAGGGAGTAAGATAAAACGGAGGAAATTTGTAAATGTCTTTCGTGCTTGAGCAGATAGCTATTGGCTCCAGACATAGTCTTTCAAACAGAATTTTTCTTAAGGCAACTGAAAAGTCTGTGTTGTCTTATTGGATCAG